TTTCTTATCTCCATATTGAGGGATAAGAAACCCGGTTCTTCTTCTTCCGAGTTAGAATCTAGCCATGCTACTAAACTTGTACTTATAGAGGTTTTTAATTTAGAAATTTTGGCTCTTAATTCTTTGATCTCTTTTTTGACTCCATTAATCTCATCTTTGAGCCTAGCTATGATAGATTCTTTAGAGGTAAAGTGTTTAGCTCTAGATAAAATTTCTTATAAAGAGGCAAAATAACCGATATAAGGTTTTTAAAGAAAAAGATTAGGTGAAGGGTTTAGGGTGATTTGATTAAGATGGATATATTTTTCATGAGCAAGTCTCCTCTTATTAGGATTCTCAATCTTGTCAATTAAGTCTATAATGAGCGATTCTTCTTTAGTTAAGTTTACGCTTAACCCAAAGAGGTATTTAGTGAGACAATTATCTGAGTCACACTCATCTTTCCATTCCTTATTAGGATGCTTAGTAATTTCTTCTTCATTAAAGGATAAGGTTGAATTTCCTTTTTTGATGAATCCCTTATAATGTTAAGGACTAGGTCCTCTCCATCAAATTCTTCAAGAATAATTCTGAAAAGACTTTGCTTAAGCTCTTCATCAATATCTAGTCTGGTTGATTCTTTTTTAATTGGATAATTGTTCTTATAATTCCCTAGTTTGCCATATTTGTAGCAAATTGAAACCTTTTTTTTACTTTGGATTTCGAGCTAGAAGTTATTTGAGTCTTATCATAACTCCTTTTCTTCTTATTAGAAGTTATTTGCTTAAAATAATGTTTCTTGTTAGAGGCTTCTTTTTTATGAAATTACATAATATTCTTTTATCGATCAATTTTTGCTTATCAAGCTAGTATTTTAACTTGATGTTGTTGTACAAATTAATGCCTTCGTTAACAACTTTTATGGCTAGTTCCTTGTAAGTTAGGTTGGAGTATGGAATGACTTCGCCATGAGAATTTCAAGTAAAAAATAAGGGAAGTCCCGAGATGAACTTCGCTTTCAATAGTCAACTCCATAATTTGGCTTTGTCATGACTTTGATGAAGAGCACATCTCCGTAATAACAAAAGTATGATAGGGTTGGATATTTAAGATTCGTTAATTGTTCCTAAGATCTCGTCAATTTGAAGGGCATTTGTGCCAATAAAGTGAGCTCGCAATCGTATACATTAAAGTGTTGATCGCATCCGGCTCCACCTTCTTTTTCTAATGCTTCATTAGCATTAATGGCAATAACTTCTTTTACTACTAAGATGATTTCTTATTTGGCCTAGTCTAATAGGTAAAAATCCCACCATCCTTATAGTTATCTTGTGAAACCACCGGCAATTATAGTAGCTATTTCTCCGTTCTCATTGCCTTTAAGAGTCATGGATCTGTAGAGAATATAAGCATGTATTTTAAGGTGGCTTTGATTTAATATTCGACATGCCATCAATATTTCATGGAATCTCCTTAATAGGAAATTGGATTGTAATTTCCTATTTCTTCAAATTAAAGATCCATTGGTGAAGGCCAAGGATAGTAGTAATTCGACTATGTCGTTGGAGTACTCCTTTTGAGTTAGTTTATATGATTGACTAAGGCTCGAATTATCTTATTGTTCGATAGGAACATTTTTTTTACTTTTTATAAGACATGGATTGATGTCTTAGATTTGCCTTCTAAAAATTTGAGTTTCTTTAGGCATCTTACCAGTTCATTCATAAATTCATCTTCTTTAGATAACGGTTTATAGTCATCTTTTTTAAAAGGATGTACCAATTTTAGAATAATAGAGTCTTATGGAGCTTTAAAAGACTTTCTTATTTCAAGAGCTACATTTTTAGGTTATTGAATAGATTGCTCCATCTTGAAGAATACATCCTTTTTAGGTTACCGAATAAATTGCTCTATTCTAGTTACTTCCTTGTTTAAAGACTAGAGATAAAGGTTGGTGTAGTTTTTTTGTTAGATGATTTGGTTGGCAAAATCATCTTTTACCTCAATCTTATAGGGAGCTATTTCAACGGACTTATCTCTTTTTCAAATTAGGAAAGAAGACTCGGGAGGATGTATGGCCTTAGTAGGCCATGTTCGAGTCTAGTAACTTTAGTAAGTAGCTTTTAGGGTTATTAAAAAATTAGTGTCTTTAAAATCTAGGTATGTTTTGTTATTGTATTCAAAGAACTATCTTAAGCATTTAAAGAAGTTTAACTCTACTCGGAGTTATGGAAACATGTTTCATATACTTTGTTAGGTAATAGTTTTATTTTTAGAACTCATCCGAGTTAAGAACCATTTAATATGATGATCTTATTTAGGATCATTAAACATTTTCTCCATATGAGAAGAAGGAAATATTATTCGCTATTGTAAGATGGCTATATTATAGCTCATGTTCGACATTATTGGTGATCGTGGCTTGCTTTTTAGCCTAAACGATGCTTCGGAGGCTTCTAGGTCTACCCAATATCGAGGGTAACTCACCTAGAATATAAACCAATTCAGGCCAAAAACAAACTCCTCTATTTATGAGATCGAGTATAGATGAGGTTGAGAATCTAGAAGATGAGGCTCTAGATTGGTTATCTAAGTTTACTTTGATTTTTTTAAAAAAAGAGAAAGAAATTGCTATATCTCCATCAACAATCTAGGTAATTTTTTCTAAGGCTCTAGGTTCTTCCTTTTTATATGAGCTATCTATTCAAGTTTCCAAGTCTCTAGTAAAGAGACCTAACTCCACTCAATTCTCTTTAGAACCACTAGGTTAGATTTAGATACATTTGTAAAGAACATGGTGGTTTCTTCTTTTGAGAGCTCATTAGATATGAGGTTTGCTCGATATTAGGTGTTAAGGTAGTCATTACCTTATACAAACTTTGTAAATTAGGGCCATATTTTCATATCTTACAAACATTTCAAACCAATGGTTTTGATGTTTAAGTTTAGGGTTTGTAAAGGTTTAGTGGTCCGTAAGAGAAATTATGAAGTTCGAAAAGCATTCGAAATGGATGGGTCTATCACATAAGGTAGACTCAATGATTCCTAATAAGGAATCTTCAACAACTTTGTGTCATTAATCTCTTTCTAGAACTAGGACGAACACATTTAGTCTTGTTCTTATTAAGGGTTTTAACCCTACTTGAACCATTCCAAGGTGTTAATAATTACATTTTTGTTTATGAGACTCAATTAGTCTCTTGGATAATAATTAGAACTAGTCATACCCTTTTTTCGAAGTATAATTTCTTCCATCGATTTTAAAACATAATTAGATAAAAAATTAGAAAAATCTTTATATATTATTTTCTTCAAAAGTATTTGGTAGTTCCATTCATGCAGTCGCATATCAAAGTTTTCTACCAAAATGGTTTCCTTACTAGATTGTGAAGTACTAGCCATGGCTAGAAGTGGAGAAGAGAAAGATCGTGAGGATGATCTAAATAGTGAAGAGGTAGTGAGTTTTCAAGGATCGTTGTCAATGATTTATAGCCTAAACATGCCTCTCTTAGGCTTCAACGAGGACTTACCACACAACCATGGTTTTACTCGTTTCACCTTTCAATTTAACTCCCCTATACTCAATTCCGTAAAAAAATATATATATTAAGCTTTTGTAAAAAACTAAATTTTTAGCGACCTAGTTCGACTTGGTATCAAAGCCAAGCTTTGATACCAAGTCGAACTAGGTTGCTAAAAATTTAGTTTTTTACAAAAGCTTAAAGTATGTATGTATATATGTATGTATGTATGTATTCCACCAAAAATAGCAAGGCTTTGATACCAAGTCAAATTAGATTGCTAAAAATTTAAATTTTTATAAAAGCTTGAAAGAATTAAAATTAAGGGAAGGAAAAAAATAATAAATAGTAATTTAAACTCACATATATATTGGCAGAACCTTCAAGAGGAAGGTTACAAGAAGATGGTTCTACATAATGTTTTTCACACTTAAACCTTTTCTTTCAAGAGAGAAACAATCTAAGATTTGAAAGCTAAAATTTTTCAGTGCTCCTCAAATGAAACTGAATGCTTTTATATGGAGATGGGCTTACAAGAACACATAAACGGATACTTTACACATCGATGGCCTAAAAATAAAAAGAGCTTAAAACATCTTTGTACAAGTGGCCTAAAACAAACAAAAACATAAAGTAAAATACTTCTAATGGTCGATAGTAGTGGGAAGAGGGGCTCAGAACTTGGCCTAAGATTTTTTGGATACGAAGGAGGTATACAACTTTCCAAAATCTGAGGGTCTATATTTGTTAGTAAGTTTGATAAGACCTGATTAGGTATCGTGACAAGCAACTTTTTAAAAGTCGAAGGACCTCAAAAGGCAAAGTTACCTAGAGGGATCAAGATGAGCATTAATGGTGTCTATCATGTCGACATCCTTATCTAAATCTTTATAGGCAAAGTGACACTTAAAGTGCCTATCATCCTAGTCCCTCCAGGTGAGTTTGCCTTTTGAGGTCCCTTAGCTTTTGAAAAGCTGTTTGTCACGATGCTTAATCAGGTCATCATCACACTTACTTCCAATTGACTCAGCTTTTGAAAAGTTGTATTCGTCCTTTCTATCTAAAGAATCTTAGGCTATATGGTAGGCCCCTCTTCCTATTATTGTCGGCCATCAGAAGTATTTTACTTCATGCTTTTGTTTGTTTTAGGCCACTTGGTAAAAGATGCTTTAAGCTCTTTATTTTTAGGCCATCCATCCGTAAAATTTCTTTTTCTGTCTTCTTGTAAGCCCATCTCTATATAAGGGCATCCAGTTTCATTTGAGGAGCATTGAAAAATTTTAACTTCCAAATCTTAGATTGTTTCTCTCTTGAAAGAAAAGGTTTGAGTATAAAAAGTTTTTTGTAGAGCCTTCTTCTTGTAAGCATCCTCTTAAAAGTTCTGCTAATATATATATATGAACCTCAAAGACAGAACATGTTTGCTAAAGAATATTTCAAATGTGAGGAAAGGCATTCCATCATGGGATCTAAGATTAGTACTGCATGCTTGCAACTCTATCATGTATGTTTCCTTTTGATGAAGTCCAGGGCCTCGTTGAAATGTGTTGCTTTGGCATCAAGATAGTCTTTCCAAGTCACCTGACGATAAAGTGGAGGATGATCAAAGTCAACCAACGGTGATATCATGATATCTGTTGGAGGGCCATAGAAATATGCAATCGATAAGCGATGATGTGTCTGGTTCACCACCGCACGATGTAGAGCATTCTTGAACCTTCCATTGGAGATTATGTGCATCAAATCACCAACATTGACCACAAGTGCATGCGGAAGAGGATGCACTGGCACCCACCCAATATCGTCGTCTCCAAAGACTTGAAGACCACTAATATTGCTCTGATACAGTAAAGTGAGCAATGATGAATCTGTATGAGGAGCTAAGCCCATGGCTTGGTTTGGGTTAGGGCACATAGGGTACGAGTTCAATTGAAGTACGCCTTGTGGATGCTTATACCCACTTTTGGGCCTCAGCCATTTCACATCTTCTTGGGTCAAACCTAGTGACTTAAACATGAGTGCAATTATCCTTTCAGTCAGCTGCTTTATTTCCTTTTGGAAATCTTCCATTGCACCACTGCATCCATGCACGAACAACAGCCAATATTTAGACTCATCTTAATTAATTAGCTAGCTGCATAAAAACTAGAAACAGAACATTATATATATATATATATATATATATATATATATGTCATTAATTGGACCGATCAATATATGCAGAAATTTATAAGCATTTAATTTTTAAATCTTTCCATTAATATTGACTAATTCATAGAATTTATTTTTTTGGATACCTAAGGTATCGCTGGTATAATCTCTCACTGTTTTATTGAATATGAAAAACAGATATAATTATCCAATGAATTTTTGCATATAAAGGACTAATTCATAAAATTTATTGTGAATAACATATAAAATACCATTAACTTTATGTCGTCTAAAATCAATGCCATCTATTTTTATTCAAATATTTGATTTTTATTTATTTATTTTAATCATAATTTAATAATTGATCAAGTACAATGAATGCATGTACATAATGTTTAACTGGTGACTGATCAAAGACTCTTTAACTTATATATATATATATATTGGATGTGACCCAACTTATCTGTATGCATTCAAATCAATTCTATGTTTTCTTAACAATTTTATTTATTAATTTTCGTCATCATGCACACTGACACTAGCTAGCTATGTCTCTAGTTAATTTATATCTGTATGCATTCAAATCAAATCTATATTTTCTTAACATTTTTATTTATTAATTTTCTTCATCATGCACACTGACACTAGCTATCTATGTCTCTAATTTATATCTTCCAAGTCCTTGAACAGTATATATATACACACACACGGGAACATCCGATCTTTTTCATACGTGGTTTTACTCTTTTTCTCAATAATTTCTTAACTATTTCTAGCAGTGGCTGCTCCAATTTTTTTTTTTTAGTGAGATCATTTTATAACTTGCCCTTGTTATATATATATATATATATAAAAGAAAAGAAGAAGAAGAAGAAATACCAGCTTATATTATTATGTATTGATAAATTTAGTGTTCTTATTGATATCTTATTAATAGTACTGATAATAATTTAGTATTCTTAGAAAAAAACTAAAATAATAATTTTTTGGTAATAAAGTCACTTGTTTGGTAATATTAAATATATAATGACAAGAAAAAGAATGCTGAACATTTAATCTATTATAACTGATTAATTTTATTTTAAAGTACATTAATTGTTCAAAATAAAACAATAAAAGATGAATAAGGAAAGTTGTAAAAAAAGGAAAAAGACTCATGATTAATAGAGAGCAACATAAAAAGTGCGGTAAATAATAATGAGTATGATATGTTTTGTTTCGGTAAAAAGCATTACATGTATATATCAATTGAAAATGGAAAACTTGTTTATAATTGGTAAGAGTTTTATTTGTTTATGTAATCAAATCCCAAGTTTTTGCTAATTCCTTTTTTGATCAGGCACAAATTGTATCATTCTTGGAAAATAAAAATATTAGTTGATGTACAATTCTGACCCCATCCTCCTAAGTTTTCTCATAAATACAATGGAGTCATTTTAGTATAAGACAAGAAACTTTGCAGTTATGTACTCTGATTGTATGTTTTTGTCGTTTTATATTAATTCTCATGGTTTTTAAATGATATTTTTTTTGTTATGTATTTTTATGTGTTTGGGTTTTTTTTTTTTTTTGTTTGCATGATTGTAAATTTTTATCAATTTTATTATTACAGAGATTATGGAGAGATTTTATTTTTTATATTGATAATTTGTCATGTAATTTTTTAGATTAGATTTTTTAAATCTTATCTAATTTACTTAGTTCCACACCATTCATGCTCCGCCTTCCTCACAATCCTGATTGACCATCATTTCCAAATAGATAATAACGAAACACCTCAAATTACAAAACCACAAACTTACGGTTTTTCAGTGTGACTTCACCGCATTATAAATAATAATAATAATAATAATCTCCCCCTTACTCTCATAGTGATAGAAACAAAATTAATTACTCATATATACATATATGCCAACGATAAATTAATAACATGATTTATTAAATATTAAATGCAACCAAAACTAGTTATATGCCGATATACACGTACCAGAATTTGGCGTGGTCATGTGGCCAAAGTTGGCTAGCCTGTTGCACCGGAGAACCCATAATGGTGAATCCCTCATACCACATTTGCTTGTTGAAAAAGTTTGCGATACGAGCTTGGCCGTACCCAGTGATACCATCAGGTGATCGGACCACTTGGAGCTTCTGGTTAGCCGGTAAGTCGAATAATGTCCTAGTTTGGAGTTCCAATTCCTGGAGAAGATGAATGGGGATGCCATGGTTTATGACCTGAAACATACCCCAATTTTCACTTGCTTTTCTGGCGAGTGTGAGTGCATGTGGGTGTGTAAGGTCTATTATGGGGACGGCTTCGTGGTCTAATGGGTCGATTGATGGGTAGTCTGCAGAGAGGGACCAAGTGTGGGAGTCCGGTAGTTTGAGAACATTGTTGAAGTCTAGTGGGACGATATGGTTTCTAGGGATAGGGTTGTTTTTGAAGGATTCTGAGATGGAAGCCATGACTAACTTGCTAGCTTGCTAGCGATGGGTGAACATATATATAGGGTTAAATTAAAAAATGAAAATGCACACATGCACAGAAAGAGCGCCTTGACTCTTGTCTGGTCTCTTGTTGAAATGGTATCAGAAAATTTATTACTCGTCTTCGATTTGTAGAAACGTTCAGATGATTTCTACTTGGTGCGTGCAACAGTTGTACGATGGAAATGCGTTTCGTTTTTTTTTAAAGTATAGTTCCCTCTGTTTTGTTGTCTTTTTCTACCGGTTTTCTTCATTAGATTTTTTTTTTGTCGGTTACATTCTTGCGAAATTTTGGTAGGTAAATTACTCAGCGTTTAGGCTAAAATAAGAAGGTATTTAAGAATTTAGTGATAATCATTTTAATTTAAATAGAATGTTACGTATACATTGTCACATATAAGCTGTATATATTTGTTTGGTATCATTATAGATTTTGTTTTTTTTTAAACAGAATTTTTTTTTTCAAAAAACTCATCAATTTTTTTCAAAGAATTCCAAGATCAAACCATTGAATCAAATTATCATACATACATCAATTAAAAGCACGAATAAAAGATTATCTACCGTAATATAGATTTAGCCTTTCTAGAAAAAAGAGTCGTACAAGTGTCCGATCTCTATTGATAATCCATACGGCTTAAACACACATAAAAAAAGTTACAAATATCATAAAGTGCTAGCTCCAATCTTTTTATATAGTTAATTTTCTTTAGAAATCGAATCAAGGTTTATGCATCAATTATTGGCTTTTTTAGGAAGCTCACATTAGGAACAATTTTTTAAATTACCCTTAAACCTAAATTAGAAAACTAATTTCTTTTTTAGGTAACTTACCTCCAAATTTAGAACTTGAATAAATTTGGAATTGAATTTCAAATAAGGAAACCGATTCTAAAATAGAAAACATTTTATTTTAGGAAATTTTTTTCAAAACGGGTAAATTTCCATTTTTCGAAAACCTTGACCAAAATAAAAAACTTTTAAAACTGAAAATATTTTTCAAAATCTTTGCTTCTTTTTTATTATATGAATGTCTAAACTTATGCATGTGACTTAATAGGCTCCTAGATATGTTGACAATGTATTAAGAATAAAAGACACATCTTTTATCTCTTGATACATAAATCAATATTAGCTTCTAGCGAGGGATCATAACTATGAAATTCTTTAAGAGGATTAATTAATTCATAATTATCTTTCACGAGCACGGTTATCATACAATTCAGTTCTCATGTCAATTTATCATAGTATGATCTCAAATTTAGTTTATAGTCTATTCAATTACAATCACACAAGTTTTTTTTTTCAATTCCTAAATATCTTAACTCTAAAGTAAATTAACTATGTTCTATTGATATACTCCTACTCCAGTCATAGATTCCTTGAGTAGACATTTATCGAAATACAATATGATAACTCCTTTAGTATATAAGGAATTACATATCCTATCTTAGTCATCCACCTATCTTCATTACATTCGTAGTGCACCCAATAAATTGCCCATATGTAACTCTTGACCGAGCTCATCGAAATGAGTGTCAAAGTACATAAACCCTCTAATGAGATAACTATGTTGACTTTAAGTCAAAGAACCAGTTGTACCCATCTTGTATAAGATTCTCATAGATTAAACCAAATGGATTTTCATAGCAAGTCACATCCAGGTGATATGGTCTCTAACATTAATCACCTAAGAAAAGATTAAACAAGAGGAAGTCCTTTGCATTCATTATTTTAGAGATGGCAATGGGCTAGGTAAGAAATAAGTACCTCGTCTAGCTCGTCTATTAATTATTCTTTTAAAATACTCTAATAGATAATGGGTTAAATATGTATAAAATAGTATTATCCATTTATGTTAATGGATAATTTATTCATGAAAACGGATATCATTTTTTTATCCTATTAGTATCCATTTTACCCATTAACATAAAAAATGAATTGATATTATTTTACAAAACTAGAGGTATAAATTGATCATTTTCATTTCAAATTTCTTGCATCCTTTTCTTTTTCTTTTTTTTTTATCCGTTATATGCAGCTATGTAATGGGGTAACTCAATGATTAAGATTTGGGATTTCCATTAAAAGTCAACTCGGTGCAAACCCGTGAAGGCATGTACGGGATGGGAATTTGGGGTAGAGGATTACCCATGTCATTAAGAATTCAATATAATTTATCCTTATTTCTTTCCATTTTATCTCTCTACATTTGTATATGAAATAAGTCTGCTCAAATAACATATTCAATTTTGGAATAAATTATAAATTAGTCCCTTTATTTTTACAAAAATTAATTGAATAGTTTATCTTGTTTTAAAAACTAATTAATTAGTTTTTTAACCGATGTTGAACATAGTTAATTTAATATTATTTTATTTTAAGAATATTTTATTTTTCATAAATCTTTTCATATTATTAATTTTTATTACCGTTTTTATTTCATAAAAAAATAAAAAATTATATAAAAAATTCTAACTATGTAAAAAAAGTCTAGATAAAAAGATTTTTTAACAAAAAAAAATAGTAAAAAAAATTTGAAAAAAAGTCTTTAATTTGAGGAAAAAAATTAGTGGATAAACAAGTATGGAAAAGGTATGGGCAAAGTATGATATAATGAATATGAGTCGGGTTGAGAAAAGAAAATTGGTTCTTAGTTAGTAATGGGTATAGTAGTTTTTAGTTAACAGTGGTACGAGATTAGTTCAATGGGTCGGGTATCCGACTCATTATCATCCTTAGTTATTTAATTTAAGCTAAACTTGCAAACAATATTCACTATAAAAAAATTAGGTTTAGCGACGGAATATTCCGTCGCTAAATGCCTTGATTCCATCACTATTCATGAATAACGATGGAATAGCGATGAAAAATATTCCATCACTATTTCGTTGGTCGCTAATTTTTTATGACGAAATACTCGATCCGTCGTAAAATTTAGTGACGAAAAATCCATCGCTAAACCAAAAAAAGTCCATCACTAATATTGTCATCGGATCGGTCATTTTATTCATAGCTAATCCATCTCTATTCCATCACTTATTTTGAAATAAATCCATCGCTATTCCATCATTAATTTTAAAGATAAATCTGTTGCTATTCTATCGCTAATTTGAAAATAAATATGTCGCTATTCCGTGGCTAATTTTGAAGATAAATTCATCGCTATTCCATTGCTAATTTTAAAAATAATACCATCGCTATTGCATCGTTAATGTCCGTCACTATTTTGAAAAACGAAATTGTCACCAATTCATTGCTACTCCGTTGCTAATTTTGTAAATGATTTTTTCACAATTCCATCGCTTTTGTTGATATTTTTCGAAATTAAATTATTAATATGAAATTTAATAATTAATATTTAATAATAAAAAATCATAAGTAATCATGTATATATGAAAAATAAAATAATATTAACAAAATCGTGCTAGAATACGTTTCAAAAAAAAAAAACAAAACAAACAAAGTGATCGAATATTATATCGCTCATCCCGCTCGTCTAATCCCATATCCTCATCCTCATATTGTGTGGAGGGCTCGACCGGAGGATCCACTAGAGGCCGAACCGGGCCGAGTGGAAGGATCGATAGATTGCCGAATGATCGATGGATCTATAAACAATCCGGATGTTCGTGCCAATTGTATCGGCAAGGATGCCATCGAATCATATCGAGACTAGATCCGGCTTTTAAGCTTAATCACCTCTTCCTTCGTAGCCTCATAGTCCCCGCAAAGCTTTTAGCTAGTCGTATTAATGATGTATTGTGACGTCATAGATGAGGAGCTACTACCACCTGACCGAGACATATAATGCACCGACCGTGTGTCTATACCATAAAATCTTTTCTTCTTCTCCCCGACGTACCTACAAGTATATGGTATTCTGGTCTACTTTTGGCTCCAAGATTCCTACCTCCCTCTAAGCATCAACTTCCTCATTGATTAACCGCTCCATATGGTCCTGCGTAATCAAACTAATAATATCATCATTATAAAATTAAAAATAAATTTGAGACTATATTTTCATATTAAATATTTGAAATTGAAAAATATTAACCTTTGTTTACTAGGAGCGCATATCGACAAATGAACCATCGCATTTCTTGTGAGTTCGAGTGGAATAACTCAAAACTCGTTAGTTGATGTCCTAATTTTGTCGCCTAAAAAAAAATCATTATAGAGAATATTGCAAGTCCAAATTGAAATGTTCTAAAATAAATAAATAATAATAAAGAGTGCAATTTACCAAGTGACGTGCATGCTCTCGTGAAGATATTGAGCCCCTTGTATGTCTAGAAGGACTTGAATCAAGACCATCGATCTCCGACAATCAATTTTGCGATGCTTGCTCCGAACAAGCTATGAGATCGAGTTTCTTGAAATCAATTTGCCACACATACCATACCTCATGACTCATATATGAAGGTGGCTTTTCCATTAAATTGATCTTGTATATGAAGTTAGCAAAGTGTTTCCTAACGACACCCTCCCATACCGCTCTAATAAGCGCATCGATGTCTATATCCTATTTAAAAAATTTATGCACAAGCAAAAAAATTTATATAATTTATTTGATGAGAAAATTTTTATTTTAATATAAAGAAAATTGAAAATACGTTACCTTAAATTCACTAAAGTAGAAGTCTTTAGTGACGTCGGGGACATCCTTCCGGGACGATCCTTTCTTGTCCACCCGTTCCTTAAAAATTTCATAGATCTTCATAGAATAATCTCTATTAGACGGAGTCAATCGATCAAAAAAACAACAAAACGATGAAAAAAAATATTTTAAATGTAGTAATTATTGAAATTACATATTAAAAAAATAAATCATACAATCTATATTTGACGGAAATAATATGTTGTCGATTGGATAAGCTCGTGAGAACTCTTTGGAGTGTCGGACACGTAAGCGGAGGGGCCACTCTTGGAGGTCGATGGTGGAACCTCGAGTGTCGCTATCGAAACACCGTCGATGT